ATGGATGAGTGAGGGGTGAATGGACTTATAACAAAAAGGTTAGTTGCAATAATAATATAACGCAGGTATGTAAATCATGTATCACCTTTTATTTCCATATGATCTTATCTTTATTAGAAGACTTATATCACACCAGTGGCGTACCTGGGGTACTCCGTCAGGGGGGGGGGGGGGCAAGCGACCGAAACAAACAAAAAAGGCGATGCTAATTTTCACTTCTGGCGAGCGAGCGAGCAAAAAAAAATCTTAAAGTAACGTTTGGTATATAAACTGGTATTGTTGCAAGTTGGGGTGGGAACATTCACTTGTTAGCGACGTTAATTTCATTTTTTTACAAACGAGCGTAGCGAGCAAGAAAAAAATCACTCCTTTTTTAATAATTGCCACTTAAACTTGGTTCAATTGTCCCATGCAGGGCGCGGGAACAATATTGTGTTTAGGGTGATTTCATACCCATTTTAGCTAGCGAGCCTAAATACATCTTTCTCTAAATGAATTGCTTTATAAAATTTGTTTCATTGTTGCAGGTCGGGGGCGGGCACAATCGTGTTTAAGGCAATGTCAATCCCATTTTGGCGGGCAGGCAACCCCCTACATTTCTCTTTTTAATGATATTGTAGCAGGTTAGTGGTGGGCACATAATTCCACGAGCTAGCGAGCGAAAAAAATCACTTCTCGTTTATAGGGAAAATATGGTACATAAAACTTAGGTTCATTGTTCCATGTCAGGGACGTGATTATTAAAAGCGGTGTTATTTCTATTTTGGCGAGCGAGCGTAGCGAGCGAGCAAAAAAAATCTCTTCTCTTTTGTAGGGAAAATATGGTACATAAACTTGGGTTCATTGTTCCATGTCAGGGACGTGATTATTAAAAGCGGTGTTATTTCTATTTTGGCGAGCGAACGTAGCGAGCGAGCAAAAAAATCACTTCTCTTTTATAGGGAAAATATGGTACATAAACTTGGGTTCATTTTTCCATGTCAGGGACGTGATTATAAAAGCGGTGTTATTTCTATTTTGGCGATCGAGCGTAGCGAGCGAGCAAAATTTTTGTAATGATAATTAGTTCATAAATTTCAGATTTTTTTGTTGCAGGGCAGGGCTTACACAATCATGTCTAAGGTGATGTTAATTCCGTTTTGGCGAGCACGAGCACACCAAAACTTCTTTGAATAACGTTTGGTACATAATTATTAACTGGTTGTTGCAGGTTGGGGCGGGCACGTTAGCGGTGTCAATTCCATTTTGGCGAGCGAGCATAGCGAGCAAGCAAAAAAAAAAATCTCTTTTAATAGAAATTAATAAATAAACTAGTTTTTATTGGTGCAGGTCAGAATGGACGCAATCGCGTTTAACGCGATTCAATTCCTTTTTGGCGAGAGGGCGAAAAAACTCTTCCATTTTTAATGATATTGTTGCAGGTCAAGGGTGGGCACAATTGTTTCCAAAGCAATATCTATTCATTTTATTCGCGAGCAAGTGTAGCGAGCGAGAAAAATGAATTAGTCTCTTTTAGTAACATTTGGTACATACATTGTGTGTTATTGTTGCCATGGTTGCAGGTCGGGGCCCGTCGGGGCAGGCACAATGGTATTCTAGGCAATGCTAATCCTTTTCTTTTTTCAGGGGGACGAGCAAGTGAAAACATTTAATACAAAATAGGCTAGCAAGCAGTTCGCGCCAGCGAAGAGTTTCGAATTTGTTATATCACTTATATTTTCCTATTTTCATTTGTCTTAATTTTTCAGGGCCGTATGCGGAATATTTTTCTGGTGGGGGAGGGGGAAAGATGCGTTAAAAGTTTTCGAAGAATCTCAAAAGCAAAAGGAGTGAAAGGAGTTCGAGCGACCGAACTGGTCATGAGGGTACTTTTGCATTTTCAAAAGCAGAATTGAAGGATTTGGTATAGGCCTACACTACATTTTCAGGAAAAAAACTGTACGTTTTCAAAATATCTGGGGTCAACTGCCCCCCCCCCCCTGGTGCGTACGGCCATGGTCTTTTTTTTTTTTTTTTCCCATTTTTTCCTTTCCTTTTCTTTTCCCTTTTTCTTCCTTTTCTCTTCTTCTTCCTTTTTTCTTTCCTTTTCCTTTTTTTTCCTTTTTTCTCTTTCTTTCCTTTTTTTCTTCCCTTTTCTTTTTTTCTTTTTCTTTTCTTTCCTTTTTTTCTTTTCTTTCCCCTTTTTCTTTTTTCCCCTGGAGCCCGTCAGGGGGGGGGGGCACTCTGCCCCCCCTGCCCCCCCCCCATAGGTACGCCAGTGTATCACACTTATTTTTAAACAAAACTATTATATTAATGGAGAGGAGTGGAAATCTATTTTCAAAGGTGTCATATTAGGGATCACTTTCTTTTGAGCTGAATCAACTCTAACGAAGTCATCGAATAACTCTTTTGAATCACAATTTTTCGCGTGGATTTCCATTTCAAACGATTCCAGTACACGTATACAATGCCAGTCCACACTTTGAAAATATGCTCTAAAATAATACTCTCACTATATCTGCATGATTTCTATTACACGATTGCGAGTTAATAAGCGAATTCTCACTCAAGCGTAAAACATTGTCAATACTTTTAGTGCCATCCTATTGAATAGACCCTCATCCATTATTTTGTGATTAAAAATCATGCAGATATCCTTCAGTGATAATTTTGGAGGATATTTACACTGTTTTCGTTACGTACTGTAGAGCACTATAATCTTATTGCGTATTTTACCTCGACATCGTTGCCATCTCTTGATGCACCCTGGTATGTAGCTAGTACACACAGCATGCCCAGCATCAAGTATGTAGTATACACTGTCCGTGTGATTGGCGCCATCTTATACGTCACGTGACCTATCCACCATTTGAAGCAAAGCAGAACAGTAGAACTTGCAATGTTTCCCTTTTTTCAAAATCAAGTCCTGAGTAATATTCAATATTGTTTTATTTCGTACTGTGTCACCACTCGCAAGTAAAATGTGTGCATGTACAATGCACAGTTTCATTCTCACAGCAAAGAAGCAGGAGATTGTAATGTTTTTAAATTGCTACCATGGCAAGGACAATATTAATAAATTGAATTGAATGAATCACCTTCCAGGTGTAAGTCAGTGTGAGTAATTAAAAACCTACCTAATGGAAAATGCATATTCAACCTAATTCTTAAATTGTTACCTAGTTCTTAAATTGTTACCTTACCTTGTTATCTTATGTTTCATAATTTCACTTCATATTTGTTCTCTTGTCATTACTCTGTCTAGTTTTAATTGTATTAATATTGTAAAGCGCTTTGACATAAGTGTCTTATGAAAAACGCTATATAAGTAAAAGTTATTATATTATTATTATTATATTACTAGAACCCCTAGATCTTTTTCTTTTGTACTTTTGTTCATACTCTCCAGTCTCTTACTCCTATCTTACTCCTATCAAGGAAGTGTAGTACATATGTTACCATGGACCTATTACGGATGGACATTCAACGTGATTCTTTCTTTGATTCAATGATAGTCACCGCCTTCTTATTATGTACATCTTAATGAGAACATTCAGCTGTTATAACAATAACGACTGCGTAAGCATTTTCGGGCATTGACAAAGGAGCGGTTTCCCTCTCTTGGGTTTTGTTTGGATGGTGTGCTCTGTAAGAGCAGGAAGCTGTAATGAATGGAGATACCGTCTCGAAAGAATTTTCCGAGGGAAAAATATTCAAGATTAACCTGGCTTAACAAAAAGAAATGTAATCCTCTCCAGCCACCATTTCCATCAACAGCTGTCCATATCAATGGACAGTCCCTCTCTGGCATTTCAAATAGTACGAAATGTTACGCAATGCAATCTGCTTCCCTAAGTTCTCTATTCACTCTTTTGCAAAAATATGCAAGCATCGAGCTTTGAAGCCATGCGTGGCACCGACAAATTAAGTCATGTTCAATGAAGATGTATTTAGCTATAACATATAAAATACAGAATTCACAACATATGACCAATGCAACTTTCCATTAGTCATCAAATGCTTTTTTCCGTTCTCGGATAGCTCTACTGAAGACATGGTCATTTCAACCAGCGAAATCGACCAAGGAAATCATGAGTTAGAGCGAATGAAAGGTTTTCATCATCATGATTTTCTCATCTAATTTTTGATATTTTCCGAAAATTTCCGAAATTTGTTCATAGCTAGAAAGGTAGTCCAAAGGTTTATCTTCCTAAAGAACTAAATGAAATTGTGTTAAATGTTTGCGCATTTATTGATTTAGGGCTAGAAGTTGTCAAGTTATCACCACTATTCACCCCAAGTACGGACCTGCAAAGCAAAAGCCGCCGTGCTCGCTGGGCTGGGCTATGTGTGGAAAGGGAGGACTTAGTGCTACTAGGGAGCTGTACGGTTTCGGAAGGGATTAAGGGGATTACGGTAGGGGAAACAAAAGACGCGCGGTGCCACGGATGACTTCAAAGGGGCCTCTTGGACGGGATCTCCATTAATTACAGCTTCCTGGTAAGAGTATGTCTTCAATAAAAACATCCCCAATGGGGAGCAGCAAAGTTGAAAAGCAGACGATTTTGGTGATATGAAATTTATTGTTACTGATTTGCACACTTTTGCACGCACCAATGACCTTATAAAACAATTAGAAGGCCATGAACTTTATAAGCCCTGTGCGTTGTAATTCTGGAATATTATGAGGAAATTGGGGAAAACGGGATTTTAAATCCCAAACAATCCAAACAAAACCTATTTGGTAATATCAACACATTTTTCAAATATAGAACACAGTACACGGAACAACGATTTCCAATTATTAACCAGAACTGCACAGTCGATTTCCCATGATTTAAGCGATATATTATCTTCTGCGCATGTAGATTAACATGTTTAAAATCACTATCTTGATTCTGTCTCGGCTTATTGGCGGTGACCATCATGAGATCAAAGTGAAGAAACATGTACGGAATGTTGACGACATTGACGGAGACAATCACAATGAATTCGTTAAGAAAACGACGAACGTCCATTCGTAATAGGTCCATGATGTAACTCCTAGCTCCTATTGGCGTGCACAATTTTCCTTTCCCGTTTCGATTGGCCGTTTTGAGGACGCTGTACTACGACTGCAACTTCCTTATTAGTGGTCGCTAGTTTTAAGGAGCGAGCATGCATTCATTTTTCAGTGTAAAAGCAGAATGGAGGAGGTCACTCTAAATGATCTTTTATATCCAGAGTTACTTTCAAAGAGAACTCTTGTGGAAATTCTAGTGCAGGTAATTACAATAAATACTTAATTTGATGGGAATAATGTATTTGGATGTGATTTTAATGCGACTTTTAATTTGATTTTGGACGCGCAGTCCCATGTACCCGGAGTTATGTCATGATTCTTGTAATATTCTTTTCATCTGTAGAATTACGTGTGTGTGTGTGTGGATACAAATTGTAATGCGCGTTCACTGATCACACAACACAACGTAAAACTATGCCAACTATTTCCACTTCACTGAAAAGTCCAGCTGGGGGCCGTTTCTCGAATCCAACTTCATGACAGTCACATCTTTGTCGGCGACCTACGGAGATGTCATGAAGCGGATAAACCGTTTCACGAAGCAATGACAGACATGATATCGATATATCGCGATACTAGCAGCTCAAGAACATTGAGTAAAGGAGCTGGTATTCGGCCACTTAAGACGAAATCCTATTTTTTGGACTCTTTACTTCCTATTTATTATCATTTCTTGTTCAAATCATGAAGCAAATATTATTATTATTTAAACAAAAAAAGAATCCCAGAAAAAAATCACGAATTGCCATGACAATATTCATTTCAGTTTTCACTGTTTTGGAGCCACTTATCGACCTAGCGATTCAGTTTACGACCGCATGTACAAAGTCAATAGGAAGCGCGCGTGCGCCGTGCGTTTCCGTGCTGATCTAAAGCACAAGCGGGCGGAGCAGGTATCCCACGCCGGAGCTCCCCGGTGCTCGCCTGGTCGAAGACTAGCACTGCAGTGATTGGAAGTTGGAATCTGAATTAGACAGACATATCGTGCGTGCGCTGCATTGATTTAATACATGCGATGAGATACTTTTGAGCTTGCGACTAATACAAAATCGGGCTCTAAATCTGAAAAATACTTGAAATAAAGCTCATTTTATGGTACCCATATTTCTTACATACACGCGTAAGATACTCGATTTTTCAGATTTGAGTAGCAGGACCGCTGATTACATCGCTATATTTTAGGATATATTTTCCCATTGCAAATGTGGTTCTTCAGTGACTCTGGCATGGTATGGTATGTGTGGGATATGTGATATGCTATTATGCGATGTATTTTAAAGGGATTTTACCATGCATCCAACGGATCGGCCGAAAACTGAAGCTGGTCGTTTACCCCCTCCTTTACTCTAAATGAGTTAATGACCGAGCCAGTTCTCCCCCACAATGCATTTTTATGACGTAGGGTCCTCAAAACACCTTGATACAAAGTTACAAACTATTTCATTCACCTGAAAAGAATAACAGTATTTCAACAGTCAGAATGCAAACTGCATATATTAAGTGTTGCTAGGTAGGGCAAGTTATAATGTTTGTTCTGCCTGGCAACGACTAATATTGCAGTTCGGATTCCATTAATTTTCTATTGAAATACTATTATTCTTATTACGTGAATGAAATAATACGCATCGGGGCACTTCACAAAAACGTATGTATTAAGGTATACTGCTGGCACTTTCGTTGTGAGGAGCATACATGTACGTCACATCTGTGCATCAATTGAAATGTTTTGCTCGAAATAACCGAAACAAAAATCGCTCTTAAAAATCACGTGATTGAAGTACACCCATTAATATTTGACAGTTTTAACCTTTGATTTATTTACAAAATGCTATAATTTTGTTTAAATTGGAGTGGACTTGGGCTTTAAAGATATTACTTGAGTTCTGGTAAAAAAAAAGAAAATTAATTCTCACAGAATCAAACAAAACTTACACTGAATGTTCAAGATTACAAATAAATGACATGTGCCAAACAATTTTGGAAGAAAATGTATACTGGCTGAGTAATTACATGTAGCATAGAAAGACAAGGAAATCAAGGTAGTACCAGCCCCGACACCATGTGTGTTGTCCCATAGCTTTCCGTGTACAGCGCTTGTCACTTTACCAAGACTCGGTCAAATTTATTATGATTTTGATGACTCCAGAACCTTGCAGTGCACACCAATACTTACATGCTACATGATCACTTGTTTCTGATCCTTTCCACACCTTTTCTTTCACAATGCAATCGCATTACCAGTACTAAAGTTTATCTTTAAGTTTAAAGGTATAGACCAGTTTTGGAAACCCCTCTCAAAAAAAATGAAATGGAAGCTCTTACATGTACTACCAATCATGTGAAAGAATATGTTTTGACTAATATGTGATGATACAAATATTCCCGGGAAACCGCCTACTAATTGATATATTTGGTAAATTATTATATCTATCCGGACCGAATAGATATCGTGCATGTGTCGCGTAGTCCCATATACATGATCTTTCTGTGTAGAGTGCTTGTAACTTTACCAAGACTGGGCCAAATTTCTCTTCATTTTGATGATTCCAGAACCTTGCAGTACACACTAATACTTATATGCTAGATGATCAACATTTTCTGATCGATTCCGCAACGTTTCTTTCACAATGCAATCGTATGACCAGAACTCAAGTTTATCTTAAAACATACATACAGTACACGCCGAAAATCTCCGCAACACGATTTACACGATTCAAAATTTACACGATTCGACTGCTCGCGGGAATCGTGTAACCATTTATTTTTACACAATTCGTTTTTTGCCAATGAAGCGAAATTTGAATCGTGTAAACGTGTAATCGTGTAAAATTACACGATTCCTCAATTCAGGTCGAATCGTGTAATCGTGTAATCTTCCCGCCGAAAATCTCCGCAACACGATTACACGATCGATTGCTCGCTGGAATTGTGTTACAATTTATCTTCAGTGGTGATGGTGAGCAGGTTAAGGATGTCTAGTTCAGTAAAAGCAAGAAGTTACTTCTTGGTTGAACGAGGACAAGTGGACGATACGAGCGGATAGCGAACACTACGCTTTCTTTCTCTTGTATATATTTTTAATTGCAGTGTCTTGTCTCTAGTTTTATTATAGACTGTTTGAAAGTTAAAAAAATCAGTCCACTTCCCGAAAAGCACTCTCGGATTTAATCCTCGGTGAGAAAAAAAGAAAAAAGCGATGAACGACGAAGGAAGGGGAGAATTTTGTTATTCCTAAGTTGTAAATAAGTAAAAATGATTACAAAATGTAAAGGAGGGCTAACATAATTAAGTTTGTTGTGATACTCTTACATTACAAGGCTGTACCAATTAGAATTATGTTCACCAGCTCATTCGTTACTATGAATATCGTTATACTTTTTTTTTATTCAATCATTATCCATTTTACAAACCTGGTTTGTAAAAACGCGTCAAAACGCGTCATATGACGCACAAAAACCAAGGTTTGACGACAAACCTCCTTTGTGAATTCGGGCCTTAGACTTTGATCACTTATTGCTTTTTTAGCGTTCCTCATTTTCGTAAATTACCTTTTACAACATTGCATTATTCAGCTATATGTATAAAGAGCTACGGTCAAGGCTTAAGGGCACACTTCCTGTCACATACAAAAGAAGCTTACTCTGAATGTGGCCTGCCATTGACCCTCGGCGGGGACAAAGGCCGTTGCCCTAGCTACAGGCAGAGATCCTTACGTAATACCTATTGTTCAGGGGGTTCCCCTTGAACATAGGATCCCCCTGAACAATAGGTATTACATGTACGTAAGTATGTAAGCCACTGGCTACAGAGTGTAGGGAACAGTTGCAAGCCGAGAATGAATAGAATAAGTGAATGGCCAACTGTCTTTGAGTTACGTTTAGCTAGCGGCACAGTGTCCCCCCACTTTTTCAAGTTCCCCCAAAGTGCCCCTTTGTATGTAGGAAAAGTACCTATTTTACTTTGACAAGTGTCCCTATTAATTTGTAAAAGTGCCCCTTCCCCTTTTTAACTCTGATAAGTGCTCCTTTTCTTTTGACACACACCCCTTTTCCTTCGACGAGTTCCTATTTTCCTTTACAATAAGTGTCCATTTTCCATTCTCATTAGTGTCCTTTTAATCTCTAGTATGTATCCCTCTTTAAGTACGAGAAGTGCCCCTCTTCACTTTTGATAAATGCCCCCATCAACTCCGATAAATGCCCCTATTAAAATCTGATCGGTGCCCCTTTTCTTTCAACTAAAGTTTTTTTATCTCTCTCTCTCTCTCACTCTCTCTCTTTCTTTCAATATCTTTCCATTCCCCCATATCTTTCTCGCCTCTCTTTTCCTCATTATGTTCCCCTCTTACCTTATTAATTTGTCTCTTTTCCTCTCCGTTTCATAGCCTTCTCATTTCTGTTAATTTTACTATGTTTCGCCCTTCTTTTTTTTATCACTCTATTTCACTCTTTCTTTTCTTCCGGTCAACTTTTTAGTTTTCCCATTTTTCTCTCTTGCATAATTTTTTCTGTTTATCTTTATCGTGCCTCTCAACCCTCATTTTCCTTTTATATGTTCCCTTCTCCTCGTAGCTATCTTTTTTTCCTTTACTATTTCATCTGTCTTCCTGTTTCTGACGTTTTTCTGCCTTGTCTCACGGATTAGTATACGATACATGTTAGTGGAAAGTGCTGAGGTTTATACACGAATATAAAGTACAGTAATTAATTGATGTACACTGAAGTTAAGTTGTGTATAAAGCAATTGGTGTAAGCAGGATACGATTTAACGATTGTTGCAGCTTGTCGCATCGTTCTACCAATGCCCTTATAACCCTAATAACTATTTACACGATTACACGATTCAGAGCGACATTCTTCAATCGTGTAAATTTACACGATTACACAGTTACACGATTGTTGCATCTGGTCGAATCATCCGACCAATGCACTTAACTATTTACACGATTACACGATTCAGAGCGACATTCTTCAATCGTGTAAATTTACATGATTACACAGTTACACGATTCAGGTGAATCGTGTAAACCGTGTAATCCTAAAAATAAATTGTGTAATCGTGTTGCGGAGATTTTCGGCGTGTACTGTATGTCCATCAGTGTGATACAATTTACGTTTCAAAGTACAACATTGCTCATTTTTACAATTACTGTATATAGGAGGGATACAGCATAAGCATGAAGCTTGAAATGGTTGCAGCCCTCGATGAAACTAAACTATTATTAATTAAACTAAACTAATCTAAACTAAAGTAACGGCCTATAATACATGTACATGTATATGAAAGATAATGAAGAGAGAGAGAGTGACTTGCAATAAGGAGATAAAAGATTAGAGAGAAAGAGGGGAGACTAGAATTCCACTCCAGGGCAGGTCCAAGCTATTGTCCCCTCTGGGGGTCAAATTTCATCTTTATATATATTTAACAAACTATACCTCTTTTTAAAGCTGAAACTATGAATTTTACGAATCTGATAAAAAATTAAAAAAATTATCAAAATACGAAGAGTGCCAAGGTCACGAACTTCGATTTGTATTAATTAGCGTGACGTACGGGACATTACATTTTTATTTTTGTATCTCATTTGAATTATTTGTTTAAAATTAAATATCTCAGGACATGAAGACCATCATGCTAGAAAATAGGAAAAAAATATAAAAACTTTCAAAATTAATTAATTATGCAAATGAGGTAGGTTCCAAAGTGTGATGTCCCGTACGTCACAATTTGATCATAATTTGTTTAATTTTAATTATGAAAATAATTTTTTTTTTGAAAGATATTCTAGGAAGTTCTAATTTAGATGAATACCTAACAAAAAATAAGTTTAACAAAAATTTCAAAAATTCTGTGTTGATTACATAATCAAATTAAGAAATGTGACGTACGGGACAAGTGTGTGACGTACGGGACAACCTCATATAAAACCAATGCAAGATGTGAAACAGGAAATGACCAAAAGGAGAATATATACTGTGTTAGGAAACTTGTTGTATACAGGGATATATGAACATTCCAACTGGGTCCCTTCTAGGAATTTACTTGTTTGTACTTTTGTTGTTAATGTAATTAGTCTTCAAGCCAGACCCCTGGTATTATCAACTATGGTATTTTGCCAGTTGATGTCCCCAACATTGGCAGGATGCTAAATATGTAAATCATAATAGTGTACTAGTTCCTGGAATGAGTCTAATGAAATTATATGGTAGTGGATGCGCCAGAAGCTGGCTTTTACAACTCATAGATGCTGCAGGTAAGAATAGCACATGTATGCTATCAAGCTCTCCATGTGAGGTTTTTTGATATTCTATTTAAATGTCATATATGATGGTAAAGGATTACAGCATACACTGTACATGTTATGGAGCCAGCTAGGGAATTATGATCTCCTAAAAACTAAATCATAACTTTTAAGGAAGGATAGCCTTTTTGAGTATTTCACACTCTCACCCACTTAAGATTTTTATCACTTTTACACCCATGCATTTTTGTTGATTTTGCTTTAAATTAATCATTTGAATTGTGAAAAAGGTCACACAAACCTTTAGGGTTTTAATTTCTTATATCTGGTGGTGTTAATAAGATATTTTAATCAATACAAAATACATTCAAGATTTATATTTTTGTATCCATCTTTCACAAACATGTAGGCTACATTAATGTACATCAAAATTCTTGAATATATGACAATAACATATACACGTTCTAATCTGTGATAAAAGGATATAAAAAAGACAATATGTCCAGCATTATCTTTGAATTCCTTCAACATTCTATGATATTACTATCAAGTAATTGAAACAAGCTATGAAGAAAAGACTTCATATTTTTAATGTATCTTTGTTCACAAACACTTAAAGCTTAAGAAATGTTCTTTGACAAAATATGATGTGCCGAGTGTGCCCCTGTGTTTCAAACGAGTTCAACTTCATCTTCTTCATTATTTATTATTTAAAAACATTTTGCAATGTTGAATGGAATGGATAAAAGAAATGAGAAAAGAAGCATGACTGCACATGATAGATGGGTAAATGGAATAAAAATGGTAATATAGTGTGTATGAATATTAATTCAATTTGTTTTCTTTGTTAAAGTAATATTTGTATTGATTTACCTCATAAATTAACACAGATGATATTAAGTAATGGTCAGAGGATCTAATTGGGTTCTAAAACACTCTAATTGTCACTGATTTAAGTTAAAATTGTTCACATTTAACAAATTTTGACGAAAATTCTTCATTTCAATGCATTTTCCCATAGGGAAAAGTTGTCCCGTACGTCACGTGTCCCGTACGTCACATGCACACATTTATGTTTTGGTATATTACATAATAACGAAAGGTCAGAAAAATATGATAATAGTTGTGATTAATTCTTGATTCCATAATGAATTAAGATATCATTACCATAAATCTCATAACTTACTAAATTCAGAGAACTTTTATGATGAACTTTTTTTTGAAAAAGTCAGAAATTCTCTGGTCCCGTACGTCACGCAGCACATTAATTACATTAAAACTTAATTTATGAATTGGTCAGAACTAAAACTTTCCACAAATGAACTAGCCCATAATAGCCACAGACTCATACCAAAAGATAGTCATATAAATAATGTCATCCATTGTTATTTCTTGTTTAAAGTCTCTGAATGTCCCGTACGTCACAAAGCAAATAGCTTGGACCTGCCCTCCAACAAAGCATAGAGAGTCAATGCTAATGCTTATTGACCTCTAGCGCTGTACTACATGTACGTGCTAAGAGGCAGCATTTGCACACATGAATAGTCAATACATACATTGCACACAAATGCACACAATGAATACGATGTTGCTGATTGGCAAGTTTGACATTAGACTCATGATTTGAATTTTCGAATTATTTTTTCTAACATCGGTAAGTTGAAAAATTTCGTATTTTACTGCTATTTAGGTGTCATCAATTGTCACTAAAGAACATATTTTGAGTGAAATCAGTTGAGTTTTGTATAGCGGTGTTTTAAATGTTAAAGAATCAATAGAACAGTTTTTAATACACAGCCAGGATAGTAATGCAGCTATGTGTGTAGAATTCCAAATACCAGACACCTGTTGACATTAGAAGACATGTCTATGACACCAGGTCATAAAGAAATGTATACCGTTTTATTATATGATTGGTGTACTGTATTATTAGTTTAACGGTTATCATGGTTTAGTAGATTAGTGGCAATTCTTATTTCTACATAATTCATAATTTTTATCTTGATTTCAACAAACAAATCTGTACTTTTTGCTGTATAAAGTTTCACCTCTTGTGCTGAATTTATAATTATTTTTATGACAATAAACCAACCAATCCATCTTAACTACTCACAAAATGAAAAGATATTTAATTACTGGGTATTTTAGTTTGATTAGTTTCTAGCAATTTTTTATGCCTCCGTTACGAAGTATCCGGAGGCATTATGTTTTTGGGTTGTCCGTCCGTCCGTACGTACATCTCTACGTCCGTACGTCCCGTTCTCGTGATCGCGTTATCTGAAGAACTGATGGATGGATTCCTGCCAAACTTTGGTCATGTATGTATCTTGCAGAGCCGATGAACTGAGTAGATTTTGGGGTCAAGAGGTCAAGGCCAAAGGTCATGCGGCTCATTATGTATGCAAAAATAGCTTGTGATCGCATTATCATTAGAACAGATTGATGGATTCCTGCCAAACTTAGATCATGTATGTATCTTGCAGAGCCAATGAACTGAGTAGATTCTTGGGTCATGAGGTCAAAGGTCAAAGGTCATGGGCTCATTATGTATGCAAAAATAGCTTGTGAACCCATTCTCATTAGAACTGACAGATGGATTACTATTTAACTCAGGACATCTTGCAGAGCCAATGAACTGAGTAGATTTTAGGGTCATGAGGTCAAAGATCAAAGGGTCATATATGTATATGAGAAATTGCTTGTAATCACGATATTCTGAGAACCTGTTAATGGATTACAATTGAACTTGAATTTGAAAAATTTCTTCTGTTTTGGTTTGTAAAATGGCTCTATGACGGAGGCATCATTTTCGACTGCGCGCAGTCGAAGTTCCATCTAGTTTTTGTATGGCATAACATTTTGTTCCTTTTCTTTGCTATGTATGATCTTTCAGAGGCACATCAAGCTAGATGGAGAACAGAAAGAAGACAAAGAAATCCTTGTTGAGATTTTCTTGAGGACGGTGACCCCGCAGCCTCAGAGACAACCCGGGTCAAATAGGAGAGGTCAAATCACAGCTAAGGTCATCAAGAAACTCAATATGCAGAGAGTTCGCTCTAAATCAGAGTCGGAGAAGAGCTTTTCCATTGGTATATCGGAACAACAGAAGAGGTAAATGGAAGTGTGTACCAAGTCATGTCAGTCACATTTTAAAATTTATACATGTACATGTAGCATACTCCAAACCAGTGACTGTCCAGATGTCATTTTCATGTAAGCTAAAAGGTCCAAAACAAAAGACAGATTCAATTTACTTAATCTCTTATTTCAATATTAGAGTCTGTGATATTTAATCTTGTCTTTAAACGTACCTTAATTTCAAATATTAAGATGGTCAAAAGTGGAAGTTCTATTTTCTATTGTCAATCCTTGCAAAGAGGTGCTTCGTATTCAATGTGTGCATTTCTTGGGCGGCCTGTGCTGAATCTCCATGTAAACTAATGTACACAAATCCAGTCGTAAAAACTCAATACCTTACCATGTCGCGCGTAAGTAAAATCCAGGAATTTTTTGCAAGCGCGAGGTGGAGTGTAGTTGATATAAGATTGTTGCTCTACATGTTTATAGTGTCAGCCAGTTTTTCTCTCTCTCTCTCCCCCTCTTTTGCAGACACATACACAGGAAATTTGCCTGCCCACCCCTCTTATTCTCTATCACGCTGTGGTTAGCTATCCAATACGCGTCTGGCTTTATGGCAAATATACTGGTCGCGTTATGGAGACTACCATCGGCGCGGGCATCTCGTATAGGCTACTTTGTGGTATGCTTGGTCAGTTCTCTGCATAAATTAAATCTCAATCAAACCTGATTAATCTGTTCTGTGTTTAAGATTAAATTGAATTTCATAACTTGCTCCACTGTACATAACTAATGATGATATAACCTTTATGTTTCTTGCTGTTCAATATAGGTCTCGGGCGAGTGGGTTACTCATGTCCACAGGTCTACCTTCAAGTGCTAGCTGCACCAGCCGATTAAAACCACCGCCTATTGTCAACAACCAGGGCAAATCTGTCGTTAAACTGAATCCTGGAAAGTCCCCAAGTAGTGACAAAGAATCGCCATCTTCCAACAGTCCAACAACAGGTGTTAGAAAGTCAGTGATCAGTCCTTCGTCTTCTACCACACCCAAATCCACCAAATTAAAAGTCTATAACTCGTCTGCCTCTACTGCAAAATCACAAGAGACTCTTCCAAAATCTGGAGATAAAGATAAAGGAGCAGCATCTTCCGGAAATGTGTCTCTGAAAAGACCGTCAACTATTGAAAATGGGGAGGTAAGATAGCTTTGTGAAATCAATTCGCATGAATAGACACTTTTGGAATGCAAAATACATAGTTGTCGAAAATCATAATTATTTCTCACATAGAGTTAGAACCATATAGTTAGGTTATGCAGCTGATTGATACATGGATTGTACTATTTCGTTTAGGCTCAATGTTACCTAGACTTTCATTGAAATAGTCATACAAGAACTTATAATTAACACACTTCACTACCGATCATTTTGTGCCACTCCATTTTGGTAAGCTACCTAAATGAGTTTTTTCTACAATAGTTATCTCATAGTTGAATACCCACATTTACTTGTAATCTGGGCAGAAGGTGTCCAGTTGCCTTTCACTGTTTAATTGTTATAATCATTATTATTTTGTTTTTTTGTTGTTGCTGTTATTTATGATGGAGTGATATCCAGATGTTAAAGAGTACCTAATCACCAATGAAAGTTCTTATCCTATAATCATACAAGAAATAGTGGCAAATTATTCGTCATTCTTCAGCATATTCTTTTCTTTCTTTCTCTTTTCTTTTTAGCCTTTAGTTAAATTGCTCTAAATCACTGTATTCTTATTTCATTTTTCTCCTTTTCCAGATGAAAACCTCTGATGATGCCTCTCCCAAGCCCAAGATCAAGAAGATTTCTTGGCCGTAGCTCTTTCTCATCTAATTTATTGATGCCCTGGTTTTAATTAATTAATTTTATATATTGTGGGTAATGACAGTACAAAGAAATCTTCAACAGTATTTTTACAAAATAGTTGTATCATAGTGAAAATATGGCATTATTATTGACCTTATTATAGATATTTGTATGCCTCCGCACCGAAGTAGCCAGAAGCATTATGTTTTCGGTTTGTCCTTCTGTTCGTCCATACATCCCTTTCTTGTGACCGCGTTATGTCAAGAACTGATTGATGGAATACCATCAAACTCAAGACATGTGTGTATCTTGCTGAGCCAATGAACTGATTAGATTTTGGGGTCATGAGGTCAAAGTTCATGGGGCTCATGTATGCAAAAATAGCTTGTGAACGCATTATCAGAACCAATGAATGGATTAAAATCAAACTTGAATTTTAAAAATTGCTTGTTTTGGTTTGTAAAACCGCTCTATGGCATTTTTCGACTACTCGCAGATGAAGATCAATCTAGTTATATTCATATATCATTTTGATTCGTAACCATAGATGATAATCGGCTTGCATCATGAAGTATCTTGATTATATTATTTCTGTATAGTAATCAGGTATCCCCTCCCCCCCCCCCCTTCTTTACTGTTAATTCTGCATCAGTATTTACTTTATATCTCTTTTGGCAGGCAATTATTGTTAAGGAAATGCTAAGTACCAACTACACTATCTTGCTCATAGTCACCCAATTTAATTCCAGTTAAATCTGAAACCTTAGATATGATTTGTATCATTATTTCAATACAGGTTTGTGTTGGAATTTTACCCTTCCAAGGCTTTCGAACAAGAACTAAAAATACACTTTCCTGTATCACCATTCAGGAAGCTCTATATTTTTTCTTTTAAAGTCCAGCTACAATATAATCTTAAAGGGATTGGGTATCTTTGTCTCAGATTCTAAACAAAATCCTGGATTTAGCTCATGCTGCAATCATAATTATAAACCTTAAGTTCAGTCAGAAATCCCATGACTTTTACAAGCAATCGCCTGTCTGATCATCAAGATATATATGATTGGAAATCGAAATTTCAGAAGCCGTTTTCTCAACGTTTTTTATAACACTACATTCTATTGGGGATATTGAGTACCAGGTATGGTAAAACCCAGTCACTCAAAGATTTTACTTTTTTGAGGCACTTCATGATCATTTTGAAGTGCAATTTGTTTAGGGTTTCAATATTACACCATACCACAGACACTGATAACACGTAGGCCATGCATCTCAAGTTTGTAAAACGGGAAACATTGTTCAACTATGCCTTTAATACCATGTTATATGATTTAACCAGGAAGCTGTAAGGAATGGAGATCCCGTCCAAGAGGCCCCTTTGAGGTCATCCGTGGCACCGTGTCTTTAGTTTCCCCTACTGTAATCCCCTTTACCCTATATAGCCTGGGTTGCTTATCTGATGTTTAAATAAAACAATTTGGATTTGGATATTAAATCATTTTTGCAGATCCAAATAACACCCCTAACAAAATTAATCATGCCACACATATCAAATATCGAGTATCAAACATCAACGAACATTTGTGCGCGTGTGTGTGTGCTTGTGTGACTTTGCTTCTGCAAAAAGCATATGCAATGCATTTCATTTGATACATTCAATTCATTTTCTCACACCGCTAATCCCAACATATTACATGCTGTGGGCATCACTTTGGCGCAAGTCGATTTTTGCACTCTGGCAAACAATGCCACCTGTTCATCCAAGCGTGAACACATACTACACAAAAATGATACCATAAACCATACAGCTCCCTAGTAGCACTAAGTTCTCCCTTTCCACCCACAGCCCATTCCAGCTGGTTGAAATGGCTATGTCTTCAGTAAAGCTATCCGAGAACGGAAAAATCATTTCATAACCAATAGAAAGTTGCATTGGTCATATGTTGTGAATTCTGTATTTGATATGTTATAGCTAAATACATCTGCACTGATCATGACCTAATTTTGTCGGTGCCATGCATGACTTCTAAGCTCGATGCCTGCATATTTTTACGACCAAGTTAATATAAAACTTAGGGAAGCAGACGGTGTTGCATAACATTTCCTAATATTTGTAATGCCAGAGGGAACTGTGCATTGAGAAGGACAGCTGTTGATGGATTTGATGGCTGGAGAGGGTTACATTCTTTTTTTGTTATGCAAGTTAATCTTGAATATTTTTCCCTCAGAAAATTCTTTCGAGATGGTATCTCCAATCGATACAGCTTCCTGATTTAACGTACCTTGGTTCAATCGCATGATTCTTAGTCAAGAGGTAGATGATTTCAATCCTTGCTCTCTACCAACAGACCTGTTACTAACATATTCAAATTTATGGACGTTTCTTTCCAGGGGACCTAGTGACCAGTTATTCCATTAACCTGTTATTAATGAATGATCTACAATACTTGGAATCCAGTCTGCATACATTACTTTGTGATATGTCGGGCAAGCCTTGGACAAGCTTATCAAGCACAACCTTTGTTTAGAAAGGATGCATACAATTTGAATATGTTAGTAAACCGGTCTGTTTGTGATAGCAAGAACTTCTTGTAGGGTAAGATTGTCAAAACACTTTTGAAGCATATAGATTTGTATTTTACATCAGAGTATAATGCGCTTTACAAAAGGAGAATATAGTCAACTGTATGTTTATTATTGGAAATGTTCCACAAAAATACACTTTATACCCCTATAACAGGGCTTGTTAAATGATGGGATATGTACATGTATGTTGGTGTAATTTATATCTATAGACATCTCTCACGGCAAATAGAATACATGTATTTAAAGGATATTTTGAAAACCTCTGTATTTATTTCCCTCCTTGCTATTCTCAGTTGTCCGATGATTCACAAAATACATGTATTTAATGCTCAAACATATGCTCAGAATAAGGAAGGTCTTTTTCTTCATACAGTAATTGTCTGTTATGGAGGGGGGGGGGGGGGGGAGTATTCTGTGAAAAGTACCAATTTTATATACACCCAGCCAGTGTATACTGGCTCAGGCTGGGTGTATATACATATGTAGATGTTCTATTCACAGTGGGTCACGTTTCATACAAACACATGTATATGTCTTGGTAGTGCAATATATACTCATTTATTGCATACATGTATACACCTTGCAGGCAGAAAACATAATTTGGACACCAAATCATTAAACATTATTTGGAAAATACCCCCCTGCCAGATATTAGAGAGAATTCAAATTTGTTTAATTTCTTTTTCTTCTCATAACTACAGGTAATAGTTGTTATTAAGAATAACTATCAAAGTAGTATATGAATGGAACACATTTTTGTCGCACTCATTAAAACAAATAGAAAATATGAGCTCCAAAGGTCATACATGGCTGCAGCTCGTAAAAGTATGAGTAAATAAATTTGTTCCATCGCCCATGTTTACCTTCTTCCACTGCAAGAAAGATGACTTATTTGCATTTAATTTTATAGATTGTTACTCTAATGTCTCATGATAAAAGAGAGAGAGAGAGAGACAGAGGGCTACTACACTCCAAAATATTCTCGACATTCATGTTTACTGGCTGTGCAAAGCTATCAAAAATTGTTTTATTTCCATGGGGTAAATTGAGGGTAATGTGGTCACTAATGGTTAGATTGGTTATGAATCAAAGATGTTATGTAGTCAAAATTTGAATGTACAAAAAGTATGTTATTGCTTTTGAACACTATTTTTAATATGTGAAACCATGAGAAGATCCAGAGAATTGTGTCTTCAAAATTTGAAATAAATTTATTTTATGAATCAGAAGAGAAAGGCATGACTACTGAACTATCATTAAAAGTAATTTGTGTACCCTTGACCTTCTTTTCCACTGTTTTCATTGTAATTTTGCCTCATGTTGATTTTTTGTTTGATTTGGCATCTTTTCTTTCTGTGCATCTTTTTTTCTTCAATTTCCCTTGTGACAATACAGTTCTATGTTTGTTGTATTTAGTGTCTATTATTTCTATTTGGGTTTATTGTGTAGTATATAATCGTCACATGTATTAAAATTAGGTAGGTTTATGTTTAAAGTTAAAATTTCCTAGACCATAGTTACAATATTTAGGGAGGTCGATAAGAAACCAAATGTTTATAATGCAAGATACATGTACTTGAATGAAAATTGTCAGTAATAAAATGTCCCCAATTTTGAGAGCATTTAAGTAGAATGATTTGAAGGAAACGTTGGTACAAATATTATTCATTTCGGAGATGAAGTTCCCCCCCCCCCCTCCCCCCATTTGAAGTCAGAGTAGCAGTGGGTGAGAGAGAATTGAAAGTGATCATGAGAAGAGGATTGCAATTATGTTTGAGAAGTTCGTTTTGTTTATTGATAAATTGATGTTGTGGTGCTGCTGGAGTAGATAAGAATCAATGATGAGGGGTGTCAAGCATGCGAGGTGAGATGTATTAATGGAGATCAGGGGGATCAAGGAGATGTACCTGGTGTTGGCATTGTAACGAAGGACTTTTGGAGAGGGTGGTGGATTAGTGTGAAATGGGGGGGGGGGGGGGGGTGGGTCCGTTCCGTTCCGTGTGTCGTATCCACCTGTCGGAAGAGGAGATTGAATGTACCATTTTATTTGAATTATCAAAATAACTGGTTAAGTCTTCTTAAGTGACAAAACATCCATTTTAACCTTTGTTACTAAAGCTTTTTATTTTATTTTGTTGTTGAGGTTTTGAGGATTTTATTCTTTGATAGTATTAATGACATTCAATGTACAATGGCAAAAATATGTGAGTATGGTAATTGGCAAACATAACTTTAAAAAGCGGTCGCTTCAGCATGTCTAATTGACTTGGAAAAGAAAGACCTGTACATAATATATAGACCATCTGCTCATAGAGACCGTTTTCTTGTTTCCCTTGAGCGGTCTGCCGTCTTTCTGTGCAGTTTTAAATGCATCTTGATTTTTTTCTCTTCTATTCCACTGTCCCACTTAATACCTTCAAATTGTCAGTTTGACCTCTGACCCCCCCCCCCCCTCTCTCTCTCTCTCTCTCTCTCTCTCTCTCTCTCTCTCTCTCTCTCTCTCTCTATCTCCTTTTCAACAGAACAGATTCACCCTATTATAACCTGTTGTGATGAATATGTGATGTTTATCTTTTTGGTTGTTTGTTTGTTTTTCTTTTTTGGTCTTGTTCATGGGCATTTTTGAGTCACAGGTCGACCCCCCCCCCCCCTCAGAGAAAACTGAATCCACTATAGGATCCCCCCCCCCCACAAAGAAAGGGCCATTTAATTAATTCGAGATGTTTGTGCCCTAAGGCTGATTACACTGGTCCGAGCATGAGGAGTTCATGGCTCTGATACCTACCATTGTTTCTCCAACAAATCGATCTTCAATCAATCATCGCCCTTTGTGATTTGACCGCAGGAGGACATCACATTGATTTTCTCTTTCACATGTGAACTCCGGGGAGATATCTGACTTTGTTCTACAGTGCCAAGTTTGCAAATAATACCCATTTATAAGTCTATGTCTACATCAACATGATTATCTATATCATCTTGTCTTCTCTGTTCTTGGTACGCCTTTTCTTTCCTGTTCTCTCTTTAAACGTTAGATCATTTAAAGCCTGTATGCACTACTTGTAGCTACTTGCGCCCTCTACATCTATATAACAAACAATGCCTAAGCGGTACCCGTTGGTCCCACATGATCCCCTTTTTCTTATTTCGATTGAGAGCTGATTTGGTGAGATAACCACCTAGCTGTCAGTGACCGTTCAGGGAGGTCTAATCCCTCCCGGCCAAACTAGTGCAGAGAGGCTTTAAGGAAATGTTAGCTTCATACCTCTTCCAATTTCAATGCAATATACCATTTTTTTTTTTCATTCAGTCGAAAATTTCACTCATTTCACATTAAGACATCGCGCATAAGCGGCTTATAATATGGGTAAAAAAGATATAGGGCGACATTTTACATGTACGTTCCCAAATTGAAAAAAAAAATATGAACACAGCGTGAACAGCAGCGTTGTCTTTTCCCTTCTTTTCTTTTCTTTTCTTTTCTTTTCTTTTCTTTTCTTTTCTTTTCTTTTCTGTTCTTTTCTTTTCTTTTCTTTTCTTTTTTATTTTTTACTTTCTTTTCTTTTTAAAATAATTCTGTTATTCTTTTACCTCTCTTTTTTTTCTTATCTGTTCTCATTTCTTCTTTTCTATTACTCTTTCTATTTTATTTTCCTTCCCTTTTTCATTTTTCCTCCTCTTGTTCAATTAAAAAAAAATATCCTTTTAATCTTTTTTTATCTTCTTTTATGCCTTCACCTTATTCCTCCTACACCATTCTAACTATCTCTTCATAGGCTAATCTTTTCATAATCGGCTCTGTCAAGAATTATGTTTATATTGTTTACCTTTCTTTTTTTATCTTTACTATAATCATTCAAATTGCATTTCTTTTCCTATCGGGTCTCTTTATCACTTAATGAATACATTACTCAATGATTTGCTTTTTAACTGCCAATAAGAAAACATAATTACAATAATACTGTTATACCTGCAAATTACTGCAGTGTATACATATGTATGTTGCAGGCATAATGAATTTAGAGCTCACAAGAATGCTCCCCTTGTCGGGAGAGAAGACCTGCTGGTCATATTAATCTTGAATTGCTTTTTCTCTTCCAGGCAGCTGGGGGAACACACTTGCGAATGGATAATTATAGTTCATTGTGTTCTTTTAATTTGTTACAATTACGTTTTCACTTAATGCATATTGTATGTATGACTTGTATGAAATTGCCAAATTAATAATAATAATAATAATAATAGTTGTTTTGATCAATCTCTCTTATCAATATTGTTGGAGAGAATGAAATATTGAGATGTGACTGTATATAGGACCCTGTCCTTAGACCCCCCCCCCCCCCCCCCCCCCCCCCACCTCCGCCGCTCCTTGGCTGGTATATTGAATGTCACGGGAACAATCACCGATCACGGTCTATTGATACAATAGTGTATCGATCAATTATCCCTAATGACCTTACATGGTATGGAGGAAACATGGCGTGTTTTATTGTTAGCAACAAAATAAAAGAAGATCAGACACGCGCCGAGTGCTTCCTTGTAGTAGGGTGTCTGGTAGAGGTTACATAATGAACGAATATCAGTTAGTCTATAGCATGAAATATCAGACCATATTACTGGCATTGCCCTTATGGGGGCGACGTCTTTATCAAAACTACAATTTATTTGGAAAGATATGCACTCCTTGTTACTTCACCAGAATGATTTTGTTGTTGTTGAAAACTTCCCCTGAAGCTCAAAGAGCTTTAAATATTAATGTCTGTTTATATTTATATCCATGATAAAGAACGCAAAATATGAATGTGTAGGCCTATTTCCATCAAAAAAATAAATTGTCGGTTGAGGCCCGGGAGGGAGGGGGTCAATATGAGAACAATTAGGAATGCAACTGTCATATTGATATACTTTTTCATATTTGTTAAGGTCTACGTTAATAATGTGGATTTTCTTTGTTGCTTTAAAACAAACAAAAAATTACACATTTTCGTTTCTAAGTTGTTTTTTATAAGCGTACAAATTGGGATTTATTATGTCATGAGAAACGTACATGTACATGTATCACCATAGCTGTGTCTGTGACTAAGTCTAATCCATGTTACTTACCCGACGCTTGACCGATGTTGGTCAAATCAATGTCCATTCTTCTCAGACCACGTTCATGTATCGGTCACTCTTGGATACCTCTAACATTTCACCTGGTCAAGGTGTTTATTGGTCAAGTGTCCATTGAGACGAAGAGAAACAATCATTCCAAACATAATCTTAGTTTGTAAAGGTTATGCTTTCTTCATGTTCTCACCTCATGCATATCCAGTTGGACGTTCATACTGATTTTATTCAATTTTGATACTAATTTGTGATACAAACCAATTTAAGGTAAGTCTATAATTACTTTTTGTTTTATTTATTTATATGTCTTTATCTGGCTAATCTGTTTGCTGGAATAAACAATATAATCGACTTAGTTATTTTTCATTTAAAAAACAACAACATATAAATGAAAGAAGATGATATTTGCTCTGGTGTGCAGATAACACGCACAAGTCAAATGCAACAATTTTGGTTTACCTAAATTTGTTTTATTTGTCTCTCTCCTACTCTTGTACATGTATACTCGTCTTGGAAACCTTGTGTTAGAAAATGAATGTAATACAAGTTTTTCCTCTCCCAATAGGTAGTATTGTAATATCGTTGTTAACTATTTTCATTATTATTCAATAGATGATAATCAGTTTTTTACAATACATCGCTATCATAGTGCAACGAGGCCGGGTACAACACACGATGAGGAAAAAAATGGTTTATTGTATACAAAAAAAGAATTCCCGAGCTTGTCACATATCTATCATTGACTGACTTTAAAGTTCTGTAGAACTTTGCAGGAATTATTTACATGTCAGACACTATTGAGTGACTGACTGACACCTTTTTTTCCTTTGGTTATAACATAAATAAAATGAGCAGTAACATGTACATGAGCATTTGTCTACATCAATAACCGACTACTTGTAGTGGCCAAAATTAAACTGATTGAATCTTTGTGCAGCACAAAGCGTAAGACCGTATTCGGTACAAGGGTCTGAAAATCAAACTGTTACTTAGGTGATTGCAATCAACAACTAAAGGTCGTTATTTTCTCACAAAAAACATTTTCAAGCCCTTTCGTTTTATGCTGCGCAAAGATTCAATCAGTTTATTTTTGGCCATTACAAGAAATGGGTTATTGATGTAGACAAATCCTTTACAGCTCATTTTATGTATGTTATTACCAAAGAAGAAGAAAAAGCCAGTCAGTCACTCAATACTGAAAGTAGTGTCTGACAGTGAAGTGTTGAAAGTAAACCGGTTTCCTTGCATAATTTGAATATTAGGACACTGCTAACATTTTCATTTCACAGATAGGACAAACATGACATATTTATAATTTCTGCAAAGTTCTACAGAATTTGAGGTTGGCTGCAAAAGGGACATAGTATATTTAAGGTATTGGTTATAACGTTTTAAGCAAAAGATCACCCTACAAGCACCTTAACCGATAACAAATAATTTTCCAGCATTTTTAAAAGAACAGTTAGTGTGACAAGTATTACAAACTTTTCAGAATCATTTTTCTTTAAATGTACTACTTGTAGCTACTTGCTCCCTCTACATAGAAACAATGCCTAATCAGTGACCATTGGTCTCCCGTGATCCTCTTTGTCTTATGTTAATTGAGAGCTGAGTTGATGAGATAGCCACCTGTCAGTGACCATCCTGTGTGGTCTAATCCCTCCTAGCCAAACTAATACAAACGGCCTTTAATATTATGTTTCGTTAGGAAATGAGTTAAATGAATATAAGTGAAATTATTTAGTACGGTATGCTGCACGGTAATCATTTGCCCATATGAATCAGTATTTATTTTTCAATTTATCAGATTTATTCCGATATACTTCAATTCAGTCTTAAAGTTAAATTTCCTATGTCTAAAGTTTTAAATAATTTTCATTTATTAATATGCATGAAGACACTTAAATTACGTAACTTAAGGAAACTAAAGAAGCCCTAAGCAAACGAAAATCATTATAACGTATGGCTATTTTATTTTTGTATTTACCAAAATGTATCCATGTATCGTATTATATTTTTGTTCTTTGTAAACTTTGTTTGAGCCTTTATTTTACATGTGAGCAAACCAAATATCCATGTGGAATGACATTAGACAAATAAATACAGCGAATTGAATTTGTATTTTTGCTTAAAGATTAAGCCTAATGAGATACCAGAATTCTATTTTTTTTCTCATAGTTAGACAAAATGAATATTAGTAACAACGAATAAAATAACCTCCATTCATTTCAAAATAAATTTAGAAAAAAAGTATATTCGAGACTAGGTGAATTGAGTGAAGCAAAATGTAACAGAAATATATCGTTATTTCATTTACCCCTCAGATCAGAGCAGCTTCATCGGCCAATACTTGGAATAAAGCTTACGAAAGGATAACATCGAAAGGGACTATTATTTAGGATATACATTCAAAGAGGTAGAACAAGATGGGGTGCGGTACAAGCAAGGACCTGGCGGTCACAGGTGAGTTTCGTGGTGATATTATATATATATATTTTATTATTATTATTATTTAATTATTATTTGTATTGTTATTATTATTATATTGTTATTTGGGGGGGAGAAGGGGGGGGGGGTGGTGTACAGCTTTGTCGGAAAGGGGGAGGGTGCAGTAAACAAACACACGCAATGGTACATCCGGGAATCAGGGTGTATCTCGGTAATATGATTTCTGGAATTCTTTCTTCCTAGACGTATTGACATTATTCGTACAAAATAATAGCCAAATTGTAATTTCCCCAATATAAACAAGACTACAATGAAAGTGTATTGTAGGCATACATTTTCGAATCTTGATATGAAGATTTCTAATTAAATGGGAATCGGTTACCACCTCACCCCAACCCACTAGACCACATTCAGCAACCGTCTCGATGCAGCATTGATCTAATAATCTATTTCCTCATTCTCTTGTCATGCCTGTAGAAAACTCAAATGGAACCGCTTATCGCCCAGCAAACAAAGACATAAATAGCAAGGACGAAAAGAACGTTGATCACAAGGAAACAGCTACATCGTCTAAACCAAAAGAGGTCAAGAAAAAACCAAAAGCCAAGAAGAAGTTGAATGAGCTCAATGTAAGAGGATATGAAAAAAGGGCAGCTCCCGCACCCGTAGTAGCAGAAAAATCACAACCAGAACATGAAAGTAAAGAAGCAGAAACAACTCAAGAGGTAAAGAAAGAAGAGCCAGCACCAAAAGTAGAAGAGTCAGTACCTGCACCGGAGCCGGCAAAATCCCCTGCAGAGGCACCGACAACAGAGGCGACACCAATAGAAACAAAAACAGCACCTACAGTAGAACAGGCACCAACAGAGCAAGGGGCGGAAGAAACTACCAAGCAAGCACCGCCAGCTGAAGAAACTCTTACAGCAACCGAAAAGACACCCGCTGCTCCCGAAGAGAAACCCGCTACCACCGAAGAGCCAGTAGCTACCGCAGAGAAAACAGCTGTCACTGAGGAAAAGCCAGCAGCTTCTGATGAGACGCCAGCAGCCACTGAAGAGAAGACATCAGCCTCTGATGAGACGCCTGCAACCACTGAAGACAAGCCATCAGCGGCCGAAGAGAAGCCAGCTGCCACCGAAGAAACACCAGCAGCCACTGAAGAGAAGCCAGCAGCCTCCGATGAGACACCAGCAGCCACTGAAGACAAGCCAGCAGCCACTGAAGAGAAGCCAGCTGTCACCGAAGAAATACCAGCAGCCACTGAAGAGAAGCCAGTAGCCTCCGATGAGACACCAGCAGCCACTGAAGTCAAGCCAGCAGCCACTGAAGAGAAGCCAGCTGTCACCGAAGAAACACCAGCAGCCACTGAAGAGAAGCCAGTAGCCTCCGATGAGACACCAGCAGCCACTGAAGACAAGCCAGCAGCCACTGAAGAGAAGCCAGCAGCCTCCAATGAGACACCAGCAGCCACTGAAGAGAAGCCAGCTGCCACCGACGAAACGCCAGCAGCCTCCAATGAGACGCCAGCAGCCACTGAAGAGAAGCCAGCTGCCACCGACGAAACGCCAGCAGCCACTGAAGAGAAGCCAGCATCCTCCGATGAGACACCAGCAGCCACTGAAGAGAAGCCATCAACCGCCGATGAGAAGCCAGCAGCCGACGAAGAGAAGCCAGCTGCCACCGAAGATAAACCTCCTGCTGGCGAAGATTCACCAGATGGCGCTAAAGATTCACCAGCATCCACCGAAGATACACCAGAATCTCCCGAAGATAAACCTACCACCGCAGAAGATAAACCAGCAACCACCGACGTGAAAGCAGCAGCCATCGAAGAAACGCAAGCAGTAACTGAAGAGAAGCCATCGGCGGCCGAAGAGAAGCCATCAGCGACCGAAGAGAAGCCAGTTGCCTCCAACGAAACGCCAGCAGCCACTGAAGAGAAGCCATCGACCGCTGATGAGAAGGCAGCAGCCATTGATGATAAGCCAGCAGCGGCCGAAGAGACGCCAGCAGCCGCCGAAGAGACGCCAGCAGCCGCAGAAGAGAAACCTACTGACACGGAAGATACACCCACTGTCAAAGAAAGCGCACCATCAACCGTCGAAGATACACCTCCTGCTGGCGAAGATACATCAGATGGCGCCAAAGATTCACCAGCAACCGCAGAAGATACTCCAACAACTACCGAAGATGCACCAGCAACCGCTGAAGAAAAACCAGCAACTACCGAAGATAAGCCAGGAACCACCGAAGATAAGCCAGTAGCAACCGAAGATACACCAGCAACTACAGAAGATAAGCCAGCAACCGCTGAAGAAAAACCAGCAACTACCGAAGATAAGCCAGAAACCACCGAAGATAAGCCAGTAGCAACCGAAGATACACCAGCAACTACAGAAGATAAGCCAGCAGCTACCGAAGATAAACCAGCAGCCACCGAAGATAAATCAGCAGCCACCGAAGATACACCAGCAACCACCGAAGATAAGCCAGCAACCACCGAAGATGCACCAGCAACCACCGAAGATGCACCAGCAACCACCGAAGATAAGCCAGCAGCCACCGAAGATAAGCCAGCAGCCACCGAAGATAAGCCACCAACCACCGAAGATAAGCCAGCAACCACCGAAGGAGCTCCTGTTACAAAGGAAGAAACACCAGCCTCCGCAGAAGCTCCAAACTCCGAGGAAAAAACAGCGACCGAAGAAACACCCGGCACCGAACAAGCACCGGTCGCCGAAGAAGCACCTGCCTCAACAGAAACACCCGCAATCGACGAAACACCTCCCGCCACAGAAACACCATCTGCTTAAGTATCAAAGCATGTGGCAGAGGAGAGTGATGCGCCAACATCTAAAGAGGACTGAACAGCTAGCAGCAGAGGTAAATGAATGGCTAGATATAGGTTTAACCGGTCAACTCCAAGCAACTGACAAAAGTCTATTTCAACCTTTCATGGAGATTAAAAAACAACAACACTGTTTTGTATTGTTTGAAACAATACTGTCATGTGGCCTTTTTGAGTGAGCATGTTGTAGTGCGTCGTCATGTGCAAACTCCCTTAAGGGCCAAAGTGACAATTGGAAATTACCATCTCGATCTACCTAAGGAAATACGAATCATCAGAGATGATATCACGGTAGGGCTAAACATTTTGAAAGATCGGCCGAAGCGTCCCTTATGCATGTTGCACTCAAGGCATCGTTTTGCTTGCGTTGTATTAACTGTGCTGGTCAAACATGTGGATACAATATAATGTTCCATTGACTTTTTTTTTTACCATTATGCGTCGAAGGCAACATCACACTTCTACGTCAGGAAAAATGACGCATCGTTTGTAGCAGGCAGTACATTTTTTAGTTGATACCTGCCATGTTGGCAGAAATATGTTTTGAATACCAGACTGAAAGTGATCAACTTCTGTACTCCATGCATGCTGTACGTGTACGAAGTATCATCTTTCATAATTTGTATCCGTTATTGGATATGGATTACATGTTGTCACTGCGATGAAAATATTTGTCCGTAAATAAGCAATGAATGTAAATACTTTAATACAATTATTTAATATGTTTATGAGTAAACATCTACGAATGTTTAAATAACCATTTGTATACATGCTGCTATCGCACGTATTGTTATACAATGCAAATTGGAAATTAAGGTGATTCGAAATCCGTTAATTTTTTGTTGACAAGTTGGTACAACCTACCTTTGCAAACAATTTGTTTTCGATGTTGGATATGCTGAACAGGCAAACTTGAGAAAGTATATAGAATGATATAGCACAGGATTTCTGTGTTATTTAGTTTGGTTGATGACAACCATAGCAATTGATATTAATCTTTGAATCGTTATCCATTTGTACAGAAACATTTTATTTCAGAAAAATATATATGTTAAATTATCATGAACAAGTTTAAATTGGTTTTGTTTTGCGATCTTCCTGATTGGTGAGTGATTCACAAATATTTCAAGTTGTTGATAGATAGAACGATTGATTGCCTGATTGATTGACTGACTGATTGCTTGACTGATTGATTGACTAATTGCTTGACTGATTGATTGACTAATTGCTTGACTGATTGATTGCCTGATTGATTGACTAATTGCTTGACTGATTGATTGCCTGATTGATTGACTGACTGATTGTTTGACTAATTGCTTGACTGATTGTTTGCTAAATTGTTTGCCTGATTGATTGACTGACTGATTGTTTGACTAATTGATTAACTGATTGTTTGCTAAATTGTTTGACTGATTGATTGACTGATTGATTGCCTGATTGATTGCCTGATTGATTGCCTGATTGATTGACTGACTGATTGCTTGACTGATTGACTGATTGATTATCAGTTGATTATTGGTTGACTGAACGATTAGATAAGGAATAATTACTTAATACATGAATGAGTTGGTTGACTGAATAACTGATTGTTCGACCAAGCTTCTTTGATTGATTGATTGATTGATTAGATTCGGAGATTTATAAAACCCAATTAATACAATTGTCAGCGCGAAAATTCAGTAACTGAGTGTTTGATTGCCAAATTGATTGATCAAATGAATGAATGAATTTAATCTCATATAGGCCTAGCTCTACTACCACTTTCATTACCACCATGACCACTCTACCAAACCTACTAAACTAAATATTTACTACCCTAACTATCTCTTCTGTCACACCTGCTACTCGACCCCGATGATCTTTACTCACCTCCCTCTACTCAAGGCGCGGATCCAGGATTTCTTAGGGGAGGGGGCCAAACTTTTTTTTTTTTTGCTCCCGAAAATTTGAAAATCGCGCCGGCCGAAAAGTCGCTCAATGGGGGGGGGGGGGGGGGGTACAGAGCACAATTTTTTTATTTTTTTTTTATATTTTTTTTATTTTTTTTTGCTCCCGAAAATTTATAAAAGGGGGCGGCCAAAAAAAAAAAATAAAAAAAAAATCGCTCAGTGGGGGGGGGGGGGGGGGGGGGGGGGGGGGGGGGGGGGGGGGTAGTGAGCACATTTTTTTTTTTTGATCCTCAAAAAAATTTCAATTTGTACCCCCCCCCCCCCCCCTTATCCTTGAGCGCCAGGGGGGGAGCCCAACCCCTAAAAAGGTAAAAATCACGTGATTTTACATGATTTTTTTCCCTGGATCCGCCACTGCTCTACTCCATCGCTACGTTTACCTCCGCTTTTACTGCTGTATTATGTTTTGCCCACTGATCTCTTCGAAAGGAGAAAACAGTGGTTGAGCCACATTGAAGAGTTATGATGATAACGCCCTCACCGTGGAATTTTTTTGTTTTGTTTCTTTCTTTCGCTGTCGGTCATTATCTTTTTTTTTTAATTCACTCTTCCTTTTGGATTTCCTATTGTCTTTTGTTGTCCAATGTCTCTTTTTCATTTGTGTGTGTGTTTCTTTTCTTTATATTTTGTTGTTATTGGGCCTTTTCTCCTTTTTAATATTTTTTCTGTTAGTTATTTTCTCATTGTTTCTTTTAAATTTTCATTCAAATTTTCTTTATCATTGCATTATTGTGAATATTTTTCTCCTTCGTTTGCCACTATTTGGGGGTTGATTTAGTCTCTTAGGGTCCCTATAGTTGTTTATCTCAATGTAATTTATCACCTTGTAGATCACAAGTCAATGCCTGTTTGGGACTGAAGATAAAAAAATTGTTATGGCGTGTCGGTTCTGATTAGGGATATCTTGCTTCAAAGTTTATTTATACCCTGTGCTCGCTGCGTGACGCCAATATGCAGCACTATATTTAGAACTATGTATGGGAGGGACACAGAGTCAATCATGTTGAAATTTTGCTTCTCTGTCATTCGAAACCAAATCTCTTTCTCACTCTCTCTCTCTCTCTCTCTCTCTCTCTATTTCTTTCTTTCTCTCTCCTTCTCTCTCTCTATTTCCTTCTCTCTCTCTCTCTCTCTTACCTATTTTCTCTCCCTCTCCCTCACTCTCTTTTTTCTCGCTCTCTCTCTCTCTCTCCATCTCTCTCTCTCACTCACTCTCTCCCGCTCCCTCTCCCTCACTCTCTCTCTCTCTCCTTCTCTCTCTCTTTATCTCTTTCTCTCGCTCTCTCTCTCACACACACTTTCTTTCTCTCCCTTTCTCTCTCTCCTCTTCTCTTATCTTCTCTTTTCGTCTTCTCTCCCTCGTTCACTTCACTCCCATTATCCCCCTTTCTCTCCATTCTATCTCCCTCCCGCCTCTTCTCTCTCAAGTCTCTCAGACCCAAAATAGTACCTTTTTTTTAATTAGAATCATAATCATGACTTAACATTAATTTCAAGGAAAACAATTACCTCTTTCCATTTTTAGTATACGACAACGTTTTATCATCTCATTGATCTAAATAAGTTTGCTTTCGGAATTCGGATTATACTAAGATATTAATTAAAAATAATACATATTAATTTGGATTGATTATCTATTCATTTTACTGAATATTTACGTTTAATATGATTTGTTGGGGGGTATACTTTATAGTTTTGTTTTGTGAAAAAAAAATAGTGATGTACCTGATCGTGAAGAAATTTTCCCCACTGATTTGATTAACTATATAACAAGATATTACAAGGTATGAACGAGGTAATGGTTAACAAAAAAGGGCTATTCAATTACAGAAAATTCACTTTACTTGTTTTATAATTCTGTCTTCGGTATTGATCGATCAGGGAGAAACTAATTCCAGATTTGTTCTAGCGTGACTAATACGTGACGTGGGATGGGCGGATGACCGAATGACTCTCTGAGATGGTTGCATTATGCTTGTATCTTAGCATACATAATTATACCACTGAATGCTACTCATTAGTACATCGTAGTGGTAACAGTTGTTTTCCGTGTGGACAAAAAAAAAAATCCTGTCTGACTGCTGATAATTTACTCGAAAATATAGACACAAATCATGCCTAATAATTTGGGGATTATCTTTGATCAGGTATTTAGAGTCAGATCGACCCTGTAATATAATGTTCATCAATAGATCATGAAAAGAGACATTAAGTTATTTTAAGAAAGGATGAATCATTTAACCATCCAATATACTACAGATGACAAAGACTATGATTAAGACTATAATATATGAATCTTGTTGTCATAATTGTTCTTACAATACGACAATATTCAGCATTAAAATCATATGAATAAAGATCACCTGGCAGTTTAATTATTTCTCTACCCTTCTTTCAAGCTCGTGGTTTCTAAACGGTTATTTCACTATTTAATATTCCTTTGTTCGCGGATAAACGTTTCTTAAAATGTGAACATAGGAAATGATATGATGATGGATGAGACAAACGAGTCATTACTCCAGACTAATCTATCATGTCGGTAAAGTCATCTTTACCGACATGATTTAATTTTGCAGCTGATTTGACATTTACTGTCATTTTCAATTCAATTGTTTTATTTATATTCTCATGGGGGCAATATGTTTCCGAATTGTGAAAATATCTACAAATATTAGATATACACCTCAATACATCAAATACATCCAAATGCAACACAAAACACAAATCGCAGCGAATATGACATGCACATGTACGTATATCATGACTATGTTTAAGTTGTGAGCATCCTTCTTCTCTTTATTAAAAAAATCGTGCCTGGCTGGCTCTATAATCCTGCTCTATTTAAATCCTTCCAGAGTGTGGCCTAGTTCATGATTCCAAGATGTTCATGAAACATGTCAACCGAAGCAATCTCTACTGTCATGATTGTGACGTCACTATGTATGATTAATGAGTAGGATGATCACTGTTGTCGTAACGTCACAGAAATGAAGCGATGCTTAGCATTATGCCTTCCATTATGGGAGGATGTGCTCCAACCTTTCATTACTTTCGGAAAGGATGATT